TCCTCTCCTTATTTCATTCCCTGGGTTTTGCTCGGGGCTGTCTCCTCCTTACTGCTAGCTGCAGACACACCCTGAGAATTCAAGGCCGCTTTTCCCCATGGATAGACTGGGAATCCCAAGGAGCTGGGTTATCCTCGCGCAGTCCTGCTTTCTGCTTTGCCTGGTTTCCCCACGCATTCTCTCTTGGCCACGCTCATCTCTCGCTGAGCTCCCTCTCCCTGCCGCCTGCTCCAGGCTGCCTTTCTCTCTCAGCAGGGCTGGCATTTCCTTACACAGCGAAATTCCCATTCCTTCTGCCCTGCCGGATCAGTTAAACCAGGGGCCCTCTGCTTCAGTTCTCTTGTAAGGGCTGCTCCCTTCCTCAGTACGAAGAGGCATTTAAACTGTTCATTTGGAAAACAGTCAATTGTCAGTCTTAAGGCTCAGCTCTCAAAGTAACAAACAAAGGGATCATATATTGGGGGGGGGAGGGAAGCATAAAAACATGTTGCATGAACAATCTAGCATTAGCAGAAGGAGGAAGAGAGTAATTCAACTCAGTGAGCACAGTAAATGATTTTGGGTATCTTAGTTTCTTGGTATCAGATTAGCTCCTTCCATCAGCATCATTATAAATTGCATCTGAGATGATCTTATTAAATGGAATATCTCACAAAAACCACTATGGGCTAGAAAACATCCCGGTGAATAAGAGCTTCACAGATTCCCTTTACTGCACTTTCATTGAGGTTTTGCATTTCTTATTTGATGCAAATTTTAATTAATTCACTTATTTAGTGAGTAATTCTTGGTAGCTACAAGCAATTGCCTCTCTCTCAGACGCTCACAGTCCCTGTGTGTGCCGGGGTGGGACCGGGCGCTGCTCTAACGCGCTGCTGCTTTAGTAGATGTGGAGTTTTATATGAGGTGAAAAACAACGCAACAATCTCTCTTTTGCTCCTGGATGTGGGCAAGAAAAAACATAGGATGACGTGAGAAAATGCTTATTCAAGTTGCCTGGATTTAATTGCTTTGGAAAGGTGTTCAGGTCGCGCTGGGGTAAGAAGAGTGCAATGCATAAACAGAGGGAGGTTGGTTTATGACCCCAGAACCACTCATCTGGATTCTCCCTCCAGGGAAAGTTTGTTCCATCCTTTGGTTCTACAAGATGCTAAGCCATTCAAATTTAAAAGTATGTTTTGATCTTTAAAGTCATTTGATGTACAGGAGGTATACTGATACCATCTGAAGCCTGGCATTTTTTGATGCATATGTGTCCCAAGCCACCGCTCAAGTACCTGGCTGTTTGCTATAAACGTTGTTACCATTAGAACAGAGGAGAGAGGAAAACTAATTACAAGAACTAAGTAAGCAAATGGGATGTGGAAGTGACTGTGGTGTTAGCAGAACTGTGTCTGCAGGTTCTTAGCGTGATGAGTTTGGGTCTCATGAGCACCTAAGTACCCGTGCTTAGAGTAAACCAAGTGCAACTTATCCCCAGGGTGGGCTACTGCAGGATAGCAAATGTGGCAGAGCAGGGTTTGGGAACTCCAAGGTAGCGTCAAAGTCTGACATTGGTGTTACATAAATTCCTGGTGTGCTCTCTAATTCATCTTGATGATCCTGCAGCCAATACCTCTCACCAGTCCTTCTGAAATACATCCCATACGCGCTCCTGTGGCTTATTCTAAAGCAACGTAACTGCCAGGTCTTGACCACTGGTATCTGAGGTGACGTCCAGGAGACCAGGCAGTACTTTTTGAAGAATTTTTCCCCTCCTCCTCTATGCTTGGAAGTTCTCATTGTCCGTGTGCTAAACAGTTAATTGTCAGAGTTTCCTAAGTACAATGGGGTCTTTAGGGGCTATTTATCCCCCCCCCTGCAGTGCTACAGAATAGATTTATTTTTTTTTCCCTCTACAGGCCTTTATGTATTCCTGCTCAAAATATGAATGAGCATGTTTCGCTCCCACCAAGAAATCTTTAAAGATGTATTAGGATGCCTCCCAACCTGTGAGTTCCTTTAAACACCACTTTGGTTAATAATCAGAGTCCTGGAAATGCTAATTGCTAACTCAAAATTTAAAGACGTACTGAAAAAAAAAAACAAAAAAAACCACCACAACAAGAAACCAAAAAAACCCAAAAAAGCAACAAAAAACCCCCACCAAAACCCAACAACTTATTTTCTGCTGGTTATGTGCTGAGCAGGATACAAGTGCACAGCCAGCTCCGAGGAGTGATATATATCTAAGATATATATATTTATATTTATATATATAAAGCGCCTATCACCATATTGATAAACATTCTTTAAAACAAAAAAAAAAAAAAAAAAAAAAAAGCCACAAGGCTGCTGCAAACCTGCCTGGCTGGTGTCTAATACTGCTACTCCATCAGGGTTGGAGGGAGACCTATTGTGAATGGCAACAGTTTGCACTGTGACTTCTCCAGCTGTGCTGCAGAACAATGCAGGTGTCGCAGAAGGGCAGTGGGACACGAAGGCTCAGACCTGTTACCCGTCAAAACGTCTCAGGAGCAGGGAGCTCCTATTAGAAAGAGCAAGCTAACTTTGCGCACAAAGCTCTCGCTCTCTGTGCTTTAAGGCTGAGTCAGGGACTCTTCTGGACTCTTCCCAGGTTTCAGAAGATCACCAGACAGAAATAAGTATCAGAAATAGATAATCAGGCATCTACCTGCAGTTTTGCTGATGGATGGAATTGTCAGTTTTCTTGGATGGGCTCTAATAAAGCTCTGGATAGGTTACGTGTCCCTACATATTAAAGTTAGCGCAGAAAAAAGCCTGAACAGTGATGGAGCTCTGATTCACTCGGGTTCAATACTTCCTGTGGTCTGACAGCCTGCCTGTGAGCTCAGACTTACACAATCGGTCCGTTTTGCGGGGGTGTTCTGGGAAGCTATCAAGTGTAAGGCTCTCACCAGCTCTGACATAGGTTTGCCAGGTGTAAAATGATGTAAAAAGTATGTACACAAATAGAGAACTGGTTTGGACCTACAGTTTTTCCCTACGATTGTAGGTGCTTGGTTGTCAACAAGCTACCCAGCTCTTAAGATCTCTTGGTAATGTTTTCTGCCTGCAGTTGACAGTAAAAGCTACAAATATCTCCAAATTACTGCAGTCGCATCCCAAATCCTTTCCCGTACACTGGGGGCAACGCACAGATCCACCCTGCAATCCAGCGGTGTGACTGCAGCTCAGGCAAGCGTATCTGAACCAGCTTAAAGCTACTGAGCTCGGTATTAATAGCACGGTCGTGAAGTAGGAAGGAGTTTGGCACACGTCAGCCTGAATATTTACTCAGGATCTTCAGCAATTTTTTTCAGCCTGTGCTGAATCTGGTGTATCTGCAGATCCACAGCTTATCGAGGTAGTCACTAGGTAGTTCAACGCTAGGCGGGTACGACTGTTAGTTGTGATAATGCCTTTGGACTGCAGCATAAATATTTTCTTAGTTGGTATCTTCTTCCCCGTTGCAGTGGGTCAGGTTCAGCTGGTCATTCCAAAGTCCATCCCAAGGGACGTGTGCCAAGAGTTTTCCCTGTGCAAGAGCTCAGAGCACGCAGTCCCAGGGCTACAGAAAAGTATTTGTTGAGAAAGTATACGAACGCAGTAATAGATGCAGCATTTCTCAACTCTCCACCCCTTCTGTAGCTGCTGAGTCATTTTGGGTTGGTGTAGCCAGGACGTACGCTTTCGGTACTCTCTAGTTTTCTTCCTTCCCTTAAGTGATCCTGGGTTTGCTCTACAGACCTCAAATAAGAGAAAATGGCAATATTACCAGAATTTTCTCAGCTCTCATCTCCACTGGCAACTGGACGAGGTGACGTTGTGTTTCTCTGCTGTCTCTTTGTTGCAGCTCATGCCGTGTAGTACTTGGGATAACCCTCCAGCGCCTGTAGTTTTTGATAGGACGGTGTTGATGTTGCCCTGCTGTAGCTGCACAGCTGCTCTGCGCTGATGAGATGCAGTTTCTCTTGGCTCGTATCTCTGTCGGCCACGTACAAGCCCTCTGCCTCACCCTGCTCTTAGGCAGGGGCAGCAAGCACAGGACTGTTGTGATGTTCCCTCAATTCCCTTGAAATTCCATGGGTTTGTTACAGAGCACTCTGAAGAGCTGGGTTGGAGGACATGCAGTGGTATCCTGCTGACTCTGTCTTGAAGAACCCCAGCTTGATGAGAGTAAGGGATCATCCTTTCTTCTTCCTAAACCTGACACTACCTGCATTTTCCTTGAATGGTGGAAAGGAGAAGTTCCAGCTGTGTTGGTCAAAGCGCAGTTGAAATATTGTCCTTTTGAACCCAGCATCTGACTTTGCTGCCATGTCCAGAGCATAAGCTTTACCAGAGGTCAGAGAGGAGCTCTCTGCAGCTGCCATAAACATCTTGGGAGAGCTGCAGATGTTTAGAGCTGCCTATGCCCTGGTACAATGAGGCTTGGTGCTTAGCAGCAGAGGGGCATCATCCGGGTGAGTGTGTGCGAATGCACAGGGAGATGTCTCAGGACTGTGGGTGAGGCAGGCTGGCCTCCTGATTATGCATAGCTCTGGATAGAGAGGGGCAGAGAAGTCTTAAAAGCTCAATCTTGTAGAGAAAAAGCAAAGGTATCTGTGGAGACTTTTAGAGTATAGAGCTTGCTTTCAGAAAGTCATCTGTGAAGGTGAAGAACCTGTTCAGACAGAACTCGTAAACCACTTTAAATGGGAATTTAGGGTGTGATTTCTTAATCATCTCGTCCTTCTTCAAAAGGGGATAGGCAGACTTGAAGAGGATTGGAGTTTGCTGGCTCTCTGTAATGATCTTCATGATAAAGTAATAACACTGAGCCATCTACTCCTCGTTGGAAAGGAGCCTCCATAGCTTTAGAGAATAACCTGAGACGCCCTTGGGAATTGTCTGTCTGACCAGAGGATGGGCACGGAAGAGGCACTGGGGACTTCTGATATGAACGGGTGCGAGAAGAGCAAGCGTGAACACATCAGAATACAGAGATTTTGCTGTCGGGGAGAGCGAGTGTGAGTCCCGCTGGTTTCGGGGACAGCATGTAGAAAAGTTTCTTCGGTATCAGAATTTCTGCTAAATATGCTTTCAGAAAATATTTTCTGTTTCAGGGCCTGGGTTTCTCCGTAGGTTTTCTCTGAATGCTCTGCGACTGCGAGAGCAATCTCAGCAGCTGGCATGTGGGCTCTATGCTCTGGTTTCATTAATTCACCCACCAGCCCTGTACAGTGACCCTTCAGCAAAAAGCCAAGCACTGTTTCTTCTGTGGTTCCCAATACACTGACAAATGCGGGGAGCTGGTGCTCTGCAAGCCCAGGAACCGTGGAGGTGTGCACATATTTGGTTTTTGTGGTATGTACTAGTCAGGAACTCAAAATAGACAGCAGGAAATGTAGCAGGTTGGTAGTGGAAAGACAGTTTCTGTCTGTAAAGACCAACTGTCCTAGTGTGCGTACGGCATCTGAGGACACACTTCGATGAAGAGGAATGAGCTAGTTGGAGGAAATAAAGAAAAAAAATCATATTAACATTTTATGAAAGGAGTTTGGGAAACACCTACTTGACAGATCCAGTGCCTCAGGCCAGGGCTTAAAATACATTAAAATCAGCACAAGAAACAGAGGGGGGGGTGACCCTGACAGATACTGAGCCGAGGTGCAGGTGTGCCTGTGAGGTGACCCACGCTGACACATAGTTGATTTACATTCCTTTCGTTATGGGGTTTTTTTTTGCCTTATGTAGTTTACATACTTAAAAATACAAAATTGAGTGATAAAAATCACTCAGCCATTAAGTGAACATCCAAAATTCCGTAAGTTAGGCCAGGCAGAAATATGTTGGCTGTTTATATTAAGGATGTGTGATAAAAATTTATATGGGTACAATTTCTTTGTTTCTGTCTCACATAACATACAGATGTTTATCTTGAAATACTACTGACTTGTTATTCCTGCATTTATTTCGGAGTTTATTATCTAAGCATCTTTTTTTTTATTTGGAAAGTGAAGCCTTCATCGTAAACAATCATTCTGTGTAAGTTTATTTTGACAGCTAATTAGGTCTGTCAAGTTGCAACTTTATGGGATGTATTTATTAGGTACTTCCAGATGTAAGCGGGAAAGAAAAAGCAGATGAAGCGATGATTCCCCCCCTCCCTTAAGAGACACTAAAAAATTATCAGGATTTTTTAACAGAGACCCAGCACTTGCCATGTTTTGGACACCACCTAGAAAGCTTTCAGTGCACAGAATCGTACAGAATCCCAGACTGGCAGGGGTTGGAAGGGACCTGGGGAGCTCACCCAGTGCCACCCCCCTGCTCAAGCAGGCTCACCCAGAGCAGGGGGCACAGGACAGCGTCCAGGCACGGGTTGAGTATCTCCAGAGAAGGAGACTCCACAGCCCCCCTGGGCAGCCTGGGCCAGGGCTCGGTCACCCTCAAATGCACCTTTCAGTGCAGACCTTTGAAAAGATCCACAGCCTCTTAGAAAACTTTACACTTATTTTATCCTATAGGAAAAAGAAAGAATCTGTTTTCTTACTGAACCTTTTCACATTCTAGGTACCAGACTAAACCAATAATTTTCAGGTTTTAAGTATGTGATGATGGGAGAGAAGAAAAACATAGAAAATTATAAACACAGCTGAGAACTCTAGTGAGACACTGCACGAAGGATGGTGATACCTTTTCATGTTTCCATGTCTGACTCTTGCCGAAGCAACCAGGGAAAGTGTTTTTAATCCTCTCAATTTCCCGTATCATGGGTCGGCGGAGCGTTGGCTGGTAACGCGATTATGGCTCTTTTCCTTTTCCCAACTTAAGAGAAACTAGACATGAAAGAGAAAGACTGAATGAAGACCAGAATAGTCAGTACTAATTCATTTTTTCCCCCAAATGGCTGAACGCTCGCTGCACTAATTGCTGTACGTTCAAGGCAATCAGCATTACTACACTGTGAAAATGTCAGAGTTTCCGAGCCAAGGTGCTGTATGGGCTGTTTTGCCCGATTTCTCTCTACATGGCCATTTTCTGAGCACAGGGGTTTATGCAGCTTTTAACGCAACGTTCAGCCAAACTGCTGCTTCACAACTGATTCAGTCAGCACTTTGGCTGATTGATAACTCCTTTTTTGTGGGATTGCGCTCTATTAAATAATACCGAAAGGTTAGTATATATCTTCAATCCTCATTGATTTTCTGTTAAACGAGAGTGACTTAGCTCCTTTTAGCCCGGTTTGGTTGGAAAAATAAAAATTCTTCCACCGTCAACCACAATTTCAGATCTGTCTTCTGAACACTTCACCTGAAAAAGAGTTTTTAAACTATGATTTGCATGTTAAGATTAAAAAGAACATCACCGAGGTGATGGTGCTGAGCGCTTGTGCTGCCTCGCAGAAGTTGGCGGGACTGAACAGGGTTATATAGACTCCATGCAAAACTTTTGGAAGTGCAGCTGAGTGCTTGCAAATCCAGCTGAAATAAACTGCAGCTGAGGCGAATCGCTTTGATATCAGGCTTTTAACCTAAAGGTCGTTTTTAGCAATTGCATTAATTTCAACAATTCTGAAGAAAATGGCCACAGAACAAACAGCTGAAGCAGATATTACTCATTTTTGAGGCTTAATGAATCAACAAAAAAGGTCAGTTCTCAATTCCAGATGATAATTTTCTCCCCTTTTTAAGTATATTTTATGTACTTGAATAAAGATGAAGGAAATTAAAATACGATTGCAGGTGCCTAGCTCTGCTTGAGCTGTCTTGGCCACTGCTTTCACTTGAAGCGACACGGCTGGATTTGAACTTGCACCCTTTAAAAACCAGGAGAGCAAAGAAATTAAATTAAGTTGTGCCTCTGGGGTTTGAGATGAGTTCAGAATGGGTTTTTTTTTTCAAATAACACATTAGTTCCACAGCTCTGTTATAAAACTAAGTGACAGATAATGTGTTTTGATGTTCCAACACACAGCAACCAGCTTTTGGAGACGTCTGTGCGCCGCTTTGTGCACGAGTCGTCCTCCTGAACTTAACAGGGCTATTCACATGCTTGACATTAAGCGTGTATGCAAATCTTTGCGAGACTGGAACCTAATGTGATTATAATAAGCCAATTCCAGTGCGAATCTAAGAGTATAGAGTTTCAAAACTGAGGTCAAAATGAAAAAGTTTGCAAAAGTTGGTCATATTTAAAAAAAAAAAAAAAACCACCAAAAATGCTAAGGGAAAATAACAAAACCTGCTGTTTAAATCAAAAGTAAGTTCTCACAAAAAGAGGGAAAATGAGATAGTGAAGTTGCTTATCAGTTATTGAAATTATTTTATTCACTATTTAACTGTCTTCCCAACACTCAACTCTGAGACAGGAACACCTATAGATTTTTTTTTTTTTGTCATCTTTCATGGATAGGACTGTGCCGTCGCATAGCTGCTCTTTCGAGGTTAGGTTAGATGCTGTGTAAATCAGTGGGAGTACTGGGACTTTATTTCTAAATCATCTTTGATATGTTATTTTTCATGCAGGCCAACAATAAATACATTATTTTTTGAGTTCTGATGTGTTAACAGTAGATTAAACAGTACACACAGGAAAGAGTACTTGGAGGTTGACATGTAAGACTGTTCAGCGTTAAATAACGTTTTCCCATGGTTTTAAGGCTCTGACAGGCTCTGTTCCAACCCGAGCACTTGGCAAAACAGACTCACGGACTGTTTGGCTGCTCTCAGATTCCACAGTTAACATACGTTTAAAGATCTATAGTTGGACTGCAAATGAGGGAATAGAGCATGCATTTTTCCCTTTGAAAACAATTCGGTTAATTCTGTAAATTCAAACAGTAACATTATGCAATACCTTGCACGATCGTGAGTGGGAGGTGGAGCGTACAGATGCCCAAGTATGTGGCACGCTCTATAAAAAATAAGTGTAGGAGCCTCTGCAGTTCCTATCTCACCGCTTATCTCAGTTGCAAATGTAACTTGCTCGTCCCTCTCTCGCTGTCCTTCCCCCCCGTCACACCTCACACGTTAGGAAGCCATCTGGACCTGAAGTATCAGACTGGAAAATAAATACGGGCTCTCATTAGTCCCTTCGTTTGTTTGTTGTTGCTTGTTCGGGCTAACGGTGGCAGAGACAAGGCTACGGGCTCCCTGGGGGTGCAGCCGGCTGGGACTCTGGGGCCTGGTTATGCTCCTGCATGTTTTGGAGGACCCCGCTGCCCTCTGCAAAAAAAAGCGGGTGCTGGATGAAGGCACCCCAATGACCCTGGGGTTGAAATCCAAGCTGCCCACACCCAGCGGCCTGGGGGCTCCTGGGTGCGTGACACC